AGGGCAGCAAAACAGGACAAAAATCAAAATCGCGTCCTGTCCTGTGCTCATCTCTGGATCACACTAATTATTGATTTAACTAATCAGTTTAAAATATAAATGCTTTCGATGCTATCGATCGCTTTCAATGATGATTCAAGTCGAACTGCTTTAAACAATAAACTTCTTGATCGTGAAATAGCTCGAAATTCTAAAGATAAATTATGTTCATTATAAAAAATTTTTTAGAACCTTTACAATTTAGCATTATAATATCATACTGTTTCCACGCTTTCATTTGGTACAAAATTCATTATGATTACCATTTGTTACTGTAGAGTTAACCCCTCCCCCACCTCCCTGGAAAAACATTTTGACGCACTCTGTACAAAAGGTAATAACGACACGTGATCACTGCATATAGGACGAAGAACGAGAATAAGTTGATGACAGACTCTTGTATTTGCTTACGAGCATGTGTTTCATTAATGTAAGGGAGCCGGTTGATGTCACTTACTTTTTCTCTTCGTACATTAATTGCAAGTAACCTTCGTGACGAACACGACGAGAAGAAATCATTACCTATAGGCTCTTTCATCTCTCTGCCTATATGCTCGCTTATTTCTTTTTTTTTGTACACGGTGAAAGAAAGTAGCTCTATGCATCAGTAACCACAGCAGTGAAGAGGAGATAAAAACGTGCGCTCGTCTCAATTCAAATCAGTTCTTTCTGCGTTTAGTTAGAATCACAACTACTGTATTCACGCATTTTTTTCGATTACGACGGTGCTTGGACTTGGATATCAATTTAACTGTAACTACTACTAAACTTATTGTATTCAGTCTGCGCTATTAAGGTAATTTCTTCTCACACCAGAGTTTGATGCCCTTCAATAAAAAACATAGGTGGGGTGTGGAACATTAAAAAAGTTTCGTGGATTGAAATGAATTCGAAATCTTTTTTGGCTTCATAAAAACATACTATACTTTTTTAACGTATTTTTAAAAGTGTATGAAATCTTTTTATGTTTTGGAGGTTCGTACAATGTTTAAGAGTTTTGATTTCGTTCCAATCTTTGAATTTTCGTAACGTACCTACGTTTCTTCATTATGAAGGAACTGCAATTCTAGGTTTCATTGTATATCCGATCTTGTGATTGGGAAAAGCTTAACAGCTTGCGGACGAGCTAAGAATAACGAGTGTGTGGGTTTAGGTGTCAGCATTAGTGTAAAGAAGATTTTCATATGCACACCCACACCCACCCGATTCCATCACTGATAAGCAAATACTTTACTTACTGTGATATTTACTTTTGAAAAAAGTAAACTGAGTGTGCCACCGTTAGGTAAGGAATAGGGGGCAGATTCTAAGGGAAAATTTGTCGTCCGTAATTTTGCTTTATTTGACCGTCACATTTGTACACTTTCTTGATTGATTTCCATTTTTTATTTTATTTTTTTCGTATGTACAGTTATAGCGTTGAGAGAATGCAATTCCGAGAATTCACAAGGCAATTGAGAGATCACATAATACGCTCACTGCTGTTTTTTTTGATAAAAAGTATGGATCGGTTGTTTTCACAGTATTTATAGCCTAAGAAGTGTTTTAACGCTTGACACTACCCGAAGTCAAAACGGTTGAACTACGCCCGATATATAGACAAAATACTGCACACTGGAATTTGTAAATGGTCTTATTTGGGAAACAGGGTTCGAAATCAAATTTTCTGTCGTCAGGTCTCAGCAAGACAACCGAAGAGTCCTATAATTTGGATTTGAGTATAGTTCAATTTAGTCTTACGCTTGAGATGCGGAAATAGAAAATCGATCGCATTTGGCTAGCAGAACATGGTTGTACTCATGGTTCCTATTCTCGAATGGTAAGACAGAAAACGACTTCTACTTTTCGACAAGAGCAAAATCCGAAAATTTGACCGATCGATAAATTGCAGAGCTTGAAATTCTCTATTGAACCATGTATACAAAATATATTTATCACTCTATTGATATTATTGAAGCACTATTGAAAGCTTTTCGAGGGCAAAAATAGGCTGTCTTTTTCAGAGTATTGATCAATAAATGATATGATAGAGTCCTTCTTTGAAGTTCATTCAGTACGTGTTAAATAGTGGAAGAAATCCTCTATCGATTCATATATAGAAAGTTGTCTTTCTCGTATTTCATGTTCGAAATCAGCCAAATACTAGGCACACCTCGAGGCAAAAGTTTCGTCAAAAAATCAGCCTTATGGTCCCTATAACTCGGACCAAGTACACTCAAATAACGTCAAAGTTGGAGAGTATATGTAAAAGATGTTCTCTATCGAATGAGTCTATTGAATCGAAAACGTGTGGATGAGCATCTATCTCCTTGATTAGCGCGCGACCGCAATTATTCAAAATTTTAGCCAAAAATGGGGTTTCAACTAAAAAGCCATGTTGAATGTGAAAGTTCAGACATCTGACTGTTGCACCATACATTTATCTCAATATCGATGTTTCTCACGAAAATAGCCTTTTTTACCGGGAGGGGAGAGGGCTTCATCACAAAGTGTGACTATCAAACAGTGTATCGGTTTGAATCCACAACTGTTAAATCAGAAACAATCACGCTCAATTGGCTACTCTTTTCATGCTCTTAGCTTTGAATATTGCTAATAAGCAGCACTCATGAATCCTATATACATATATGTAAGAGACAATATGATATTTCTCAATCCATACACACACTGTTTACCGTTTGCATTCGCCTATTCATCAGAGCAGTATGTGAAGAGGACAATACGGTGAATATGGAGGTGGCGACATCCTAGGTTAAATACCAAACGCCGATCAGAGGTGTTTGGACGGAACTAAAATGAAACATCTGACGCTTCTAGATACATTTTCTGGGAGAAAACTGGAGAAAAAATATTTAGAAGCGCCAAATGTTTCCTTTAACACGTATTCAAACGCATCTATACACGAACACAGTAAACGCGATTCATGTTTTACCGCTCTTAAACGAATCTATTTACTTTTTTAATGCGTTTAGTCTCATTTCTTTCGAAAGAGTACGTTCCAACGTACTAAATTCTTGCTGACAAATGCGTTTCAAGTGCAGGAAGAAGCGCGTTTTTAGACGCGTTGGTACCCAAAAATATTTTCATGGGATGTTTTGAGGCCTATCGGATTTTTGAACAAATCATAATAATTCAGGTTCAATAAGAGTTACGTCTTGTTTTAAGTATACCGGTCACAGTCTAGGAATTCGCTCATGGTGTCTACATCGCTTTCACTTTTCATATTGGTTTATGAACTTGAACACTCCTTCGCAAAGCGTACTTTTCTCAATAAATCTTGTGATAGATAAGAAACAGGAAAACGGTACACCAAGAGTTGCATAGACAAGAAGTGGGCATGAAAATAACATTTTCTATTATCGAAACAATACTCATCTAATTTCTTATTTTAACAGTAGCGAAAATATTTTGTAATTGACAATGCTAGAAAAGAAAGACTATCGAAAATGACTGAGTTTACTTTTGCAGAAAAACTCCAAAAGTAAATTCTGTATAGACTATCTTTATGATGGATATAACTGACATTGTGAAATTACATTGGCACTATTATATAGTGACATATATAACACAACTATTGAATGTTTTTCGTTCTTCGTATGGTATACATATAGGCTGTTTATAACAAGCGAACTATTGTTTTTTACTATACGATGACATCATTATACATTCTTTTTCTTTTATCTCCCATCTATATGAGATAAATCGAAAGTAGCTTGCAAAAGTGAATTCTGTCATTTTTGATAGTCTTTCTTTTCTTGCGTTGTCAATTACAAAATATTTTCGCTGTTATTAAAATAAGAAATTTGATATTTCCATATTAAGTCGTTCATTTACTTATATATATAATACCTATTTAAATTTGTTTTCGACTTCAGTGTTTTTTGGTTCTCAAAACAAGATTAGTGCAAGTCGGACTAAACAGATTAATAAAGAAAAAATTTTTAACTGTATGAAAAAACATATAATGATATGCAACGAGATATGATTGTTGGAAAATAAGTCAACAATTGATTTAATTCATATATTTATGTTTATATTGGTAAGCTCTAGTGTTATTTGCTTTTGCTTTTTTATTGTTCTCTTGCTTAGTATGATGACAAGCATTACAACAAATGAAATTTCAAATAGAGAGACAACAAATTGATATAAATATTGATAATAAAATAAATACATGAATTCAATATTTAACAATTTAACAATTTATATCATTAATAGATGTACGTTGAAATATTACAGGCGGTACAAAAAATTTGATCTCAATATGTTATTTTCTTTACACGTGAACAACTGCAATAATACAACATCAAAATAAATAAGAAATAAATAAATTTAATATTGAACAAAAATTTGATTTAATATCATCAATTACAAATAGTTCTGAAGATGGTCTTTCTACGACCGAAAATTCAACACACATAAAACAAATATATATAACATTATTTTTTCAATATTTACATCAATTTGTTGTCTCTCTATTTGAAATTCCATTTGTTGTAATGCTTGTTATTATACTAAGCAAGAGAACAATAAAAAAGCAAAAGCAAATAACATTAGAGCTTACCAATATAAACATAAATATATGAATTAAATCAATTGTTGACTTATTTTCCAACAATCATATCTCGTTGCATATCATTATATGTTTTTTCACATAATTAAAATTTTTTTCTTTAAAATGTTAACTAAAAAATTCATGTTAGAAAATTATTATTTTAAACAGATAACTAATACCTCATGTTAGGAAACTTTCCGTTTTCACAGTGAAACTGACGGAAAGACTTTCCATTCAATGAATTTTTCCAGAGCTTGCATAACAGAAGCTTGCCTCTGCTTCTACAACGTATGTTGCTTCGTGACTGTCTTGCTGTGTAGCAGAACAGGAAAGTTTTCTTACTTTCAGCATCAAACATATCAAAACGATTAGCAAAACTCATTCTTTCTTGTTGGTTTCTTTAGATTCTATGGATCACACATACGGCATCAGGCTTGGACAAAATCCAAATACCTGGAGTCCATATCCAACAGGTACTCCTGGTATCAGGCTTGGAGAAAATCCCAATACCTGGAGTCCGTATCCAATAGGTGCTCCTGATATCAAGCTTGGAGAAAATCCAAATACCTGGAGTCCATATCCAATAGGTGCTCCTGGTATCAGGCTTGGAGAAAATCCAAATACCTGGAGTCCATATCCAAGAGGTGCTCCTGGTGCCAGCGGCGCATATGGTTACAGCTACTTCTGAACTGCAGTGCACAAACTCATCAGCTGAACATTCATAGTTTCTACCTTTATACGCTGTAGATGCTTTCTCTGTTTCCTTTGACAAAGTTTATTTAGCATATCAGTGAGTTTTTATTATCACGTTTAGCTGAGAAAATCCAAATACAGTCTGAACAATATTCACTAGTAAGGCAGATTATCATGGATTCACAGGGTATGGGTATGGGTGGAGTGTGGCGGTGTGGGTGTAACTCTAGAGAAAACCAAGGTGAATCTCATCTCCACTTACTCACACATATGTCGAAAGGTAGAAATGCAGAAAATGAAAGTAAATGGAAGTGGAGATCTCCCTCGTCCTCACCTTCACTCTTATGTTCTTGCCTTCCGTCATCATTTCTGTTTCGACTAACGAGGAAACATTTCCAAGTGTGAGTCTCAGTTTCAAATGGGATATATACCAGTTTGTAGAGCTCGACGAGCTGATTCTTGTGGTATGTTCCGTTTTTGCCCATAGACCTCAAATGAGAAAAATCAATCGATTTTAATAGTGAATTTCTTGCCTAGATAAGTTGTAAGGTATTTGTTAGGAAATCAAGAGATCAAGGTTATTTGAAGTTCAAATCGTCGTATTAACATAGACAACGACACGTGCAATATATTTGAGTGCACTTCAATCAAATGTGTTTCACGACTTATTACTATTAGTACGTGATAGTGTAATGCTATATTAAACAAATAAGATAACGATAGTTCTTTTCGTTGTATTGTTATGCACTCATGATACACATCCCTTATTTTCTCATTCTTTCTAGTATATTCTAATTGGTTCTTTCTCTTTCTGCTCTATGCTTATCGACTATCAAAGAATTCTGTGACTTTCTAACATTTTCGAGTAAATTCTTCCGCCTTCTTTCGAATCTGTATATATATATATATCCGTCATTTGGAACATAGTCCATGATAAATCTTCTGATTAATATTCTCTCAGATTTCACTTCATCAAAACTTATTTCTCTATGACGAACATCGCTAACATATGTAAACATTTATATGAAAAAGCATTAGAAAGGTCAAGTGTTCATTCAATAAGCACCACAGAAGAAGAGATATCGATCGCAATCAATCTGCTCGATCTATTAGAGAACCTTTCAAACAGTGACAGCTTCACAATAGAGACAGAAGATTCTCTCAAAGTTTCTGATGTCGATCATTTTAACCCGGACTATCCTGTTGAAATCGAAGATGATGAAGAGCAACAAGTAGTCGAAAATCGTCAGTTCAGTTTAGAATACATGCAAAGGGTTGTCGACTTTGCTCGTCCAGGTGTTGCTTTTACAACCGTACAGCATGCTTTTCGACGAGTTAGACATCCTATGCAATTAAAGCGATTTCGAGAATATGTTGCAAATAACGGAAACCGCCGGCAAAAATTGGAGCGTGTAGAGCATTTTGCACTTGATAGATTTCGCTCTGCTCGTAATAACAATTTACCTGTGCATGATCTTGACGTGAAGCGATGGGCTCTATCCCAAGCAAAAATAGAAAATATAGATGGCTTTAAAACAAGTGACTATTGGCTTCTCAATTTCAAAAAATGCAACGGTATATCTTCCAGAAAAGTGACAAAATTCGTTTCTCATCGGGAAGTTGTTGATAAATCTATAATTAAACAGACTGCTGATGATTTTGTCGCTGAAGCAACCAAACATATACCAAAATATAAGCTTGATTTTGTGCTAAATGCCGATCAATCCAGTTTTAATTACGAAATAGCTTCGAACCGTACACTATCTTATGCAGGAGAGAAAGCGACTTATCTATCAGTAAAATCTTTGAATGCTATAAGACATTCCTATACAGTTATGCCGATCATTAGAGCTGCTGGTCAGTTGCTCGGTCCTGTTTTTATTTGTCTTCAGGAACCCACGGATCGGTTTGCAATTACAAGAGCGGTCTTTTCAGCATCAAATGTAATAACTAGTTGCAGTATATGTGGGGGAATTAAATAAATCCTTAGTGGAATACTAGATTAAAGAAGTTCTCGACAAGGTAGTCAGCAATCGATTCCTTCTTGTGGTCGATCAATGGTCACCGCAGGCTGACATTACTGTATATGAGAATAACCTGACAAAAGAACAGTCATGTAAATTATTAGTGATACCTAGAAGAGCAACATCAACAAAACGACCGTATGATACTTATTTTTTCGACAATGGAAAGTGTTAACAAAAAGAATATATCATCGTGTATCTCTAGACGAATTAGATGTTGACTTAAGGAATCATGACGCTATCATCAAACTACAAAGTCTGGTTCATAATCAACTGAGTTCTTTTTTTATTTAAACCAATGATTTCATACGCATGGTCAACTTGTGGCCACATTCCTAAACAATACTCGAATTTTTCGAGCGTTATAGACGTCTGTTTTTCTTTTGATGCAGACAGTTGCTCAGATAATAATTGTGAACAGAGTGCATTTATTTGTTGTAGTCATTGTCGACGAATATTGTGTTTCGAACATTTTTTCACCGCGTATCATTTTCATTGATTGTGTTCTTGATATGTTTTCCGAATAAAACGAATGAAACGATAAAATGATAGTCTATGCAACTCGAAACACGAAAATCATAAAGCTTAAACTTCGGAATGTAGAAAAAAGCTTTCTTATGCAACTTCGGTTGGTCAAATCCTATCATGTAAATAATATTGCCATACACAAAAATAACCTTGAGAATGTAAAGAGCACCGTTTCTTTAAATAGTTTTGGATGTGATATGCGAGAATCAGTGGCTCAAAGTACTATAAACAGTTTTTAAAATTGCCTTTCTGTGAGAATGTTGTGCTTAAAAGTTCGATATTTCCAGTGTTATTTTGTACAAATAAAACTTACCAATTTTCTCATTTGAGGTCTATGGGCAAAAACGGAACATACCACAAGAACCAGCTCGTCGAGCTCTACAAACTGGTATATATCCCATTTAAAACTGAGACTCACACTTGGAAATGTTCCCTCGTAAGCTCAAGTTGACCAAATTTATTGTGCAAAACAAACTGAATATATTATAATCTGTAATTTAAATGAGCCAATTAAAAAAAATTCTATTTTAAAAATCTGAGGGTGTGGGTGTGGGTGGGTGCGGGTGTGGGTGTGGGTGTGGGTGTGGGTGGGTGCGGGTGTGGGTGTGGGTGTGAGTGTGAGTGTGGGTGTTGGTGTGGGGTGCGTGTGAGGTTGTACGTAGTATTATTTCTTCACGTTCACCCACACCCATGCTTCATCAAAATTACAATAAATCGATCGAGCGTTGACGACCAGCAAATGTCTCTAATTTCACCATGATTGAACGGTATCTCTTTCAGAGTAGTCAACTGTTGATCAAGTAAACATAAATTGGATTTGTGATACACGAAGAAACTGTTATCGTTAGTGGCCATTGGTGAGAACCAATCACTTTTCAATGGAATTGATCTATATGAGGGTCGAAGAGGCAAGATAGCTCTGTTCATTGGTCGAAGATGAATGAGATTACCATTGATTGGTAATGGAAGAAGAGTAATTCGACAATGTTCGACTTCGATAAGCTGCATTTCGATCGTTCGAAGACTTTTTGAGATCGAATCGATGATTTCTTTTGTTACGTCTTATTGATTCACCAATAATCGCAGTTGATCGAGTTGTTGTGTCAATTTATTTCTGATTTCGTCTATGTGTTCTCGACACCATTTTTCATAGAAACGGTCGAGTGATTGATGAGTTTCGAGACGCCATTCATTGAGTTGTTTGAGATAAGACGGTTTGATAGATGAAAGTCGAATCGAAAGTTGATTGATCTCGCCGACAAGTGGCAGCATGGGTGGGTGTGGGTGTGGGGTGTAGGTGTGTGTGGGTGTGAGTGAGGGTGTGGGTGTGGATCATCTCTTCATTCACATTCACACCCACACCTACGCTCACATCCACACACCCACACCGACATCCACAGACCATCACCCACACACCCACACCCGCATACCCACACTCACATACTCACATCCTTCAAGGAAAGGTTCTCAGCCCCTCAAGACAATTGCGAATCCTTCAATTCTTCTACAGAACTTTTCAGAGTTAAGAGGATAATGAATTTTCTCTCACACTCATGTTTGTAGTGCCTTTGCCATCGTCTTTGCCTTCACCCTAACATTTGGGGTGCTTTGCATGGCTCTTGCCTTCACCCTCACATTTGAAGTGCTTTGCATGGCTCTTGCCCTCACCCTCATATTTGGAGTACTCTGTATGGCCCTTACTCTCATCCTTACCTCACCTTTACACTGGGAGTGGTCTCCATAGCCAAAAAAATACTTTCGACGAAAAACAGATATCTATCTGAATTAATTGATGAAATGCTTTATCGGCGAAGTGTCCTATCTAAGAAATATTTTTCGACGAAGTGTTCTGTCGACGAAATGCTTTTCGACGAAATGTTGTGTTGACGAAGTGCCGTGTCGACAAAAAGTTTTCGACGAAATGCATGTCGACGAAAATTTTTCAACCAGCTGCGTTTCGACAAAAATTTTTCGACCAACAACATGATTACCCTTATTACTTAGGAAAAAAATAGATGTTAAATATAAATGACTATTTCTTCCGAACCTTGCGTTTATCTCATCCTTTTGTAGACACAAAAGAAAACGGCGAATGCATCTCGGCACTTCCTTACACATTCTTGAGGAAGTCCCTTCAGAGACTTCTCAGGAAGCTTTTGTTCTTCACTACTCCCTGACTACATCGAAATTCCCTAAAGAATCGCTAGAGAGTCCATCGGGACTCAGCGGAGAGCTCACACATTTTCGGGGACTCCCTGAGGACTTGCTGAGGGACAATGACTTAAGGCCATCTTTGCAAAGAACAGTATCATCTTGGGTGTGGGTGGGGGCGTGAGTCCTAAAGACGAAAACCCACACACCTACCACCACACCGACCGACACTCATACCCAGTCGCCCACCCCGACACGCACATACCCACACTCCACATCCACACCCCATATG